ATCGACAGGTAACAGTTTTTGCGTCACTTGAACTTTGTATGGGAACAAATGCAAATCATGATGCAATATGCGACGTAAAGTGGTTCGTTTTATGCCCAACTGCTCAGATCGACGTGTTTGAGATGTTGTTGGAGACCTCTGAACACTGGCCTGTACGAGTGCGATATTATCATCCGATCGCCTTGGTCGCACTTTATTTGGACGCTTGGGATTAGTGAGTGCCTCACCAGTTGAAAATCTTTCATACAAACGATACAATGTGTTCGCGGAAGGCGCACTTTTCACTTTATTTATTTTTCTCCATGCACGTTGAGTTTTAACAATTGACTTGTTTTGTTGAATGTAAATTTCAACAATCTGAGAGCGTTCGCGTGGCGTGTACTGTTCCATGGCACAAATTTCCTTCGACTGACGCTTCAAACGCGCTACGTCGTTACTCGATCTAACATCTCTGTCAAAAGTTACAGTGTTGCCACATCTTTCCGTCGAATATGGCCAACCCTGTATTTGTAAAATTCTTGACAAGTAAATGAATAATTTATCTTAATTTGTAGTTCTGCTTTTACATGTTGTGTAAGTTCTATTTCTGTTATCATTTCAGATATTATTACATTGAGAAAATACACGCTCTGCTGAAATATTTAAAACTGGAATTAAAGCTATAAATTGGAATAATTTAAGAAAATGCTTTATATTCTTGTTCTGACTAAAAAGTTCATGACATTTTTCATACGCAAATTTTGCTTGATTATTAGAGTTTTCTTTTTCTAATATTATATTCATAATTTTTTTTGTTTGACAGTATTCTTCGTAAAGCTCGTCTATGTTTATTACACGATCAAGAGAAAATTTAATTAATATTTTGCAAAGTTCGACAAAACTAAACATCATTTTTAGTGAAAAAAAATTGCATTTTAGATAACATATTATCTTCAGAAAAATTAAAACGTTTTTCAATATACTTTAAAACATTTTTGTACCACATTATTAACTGATTTTTATAATAACATAAGTTTATTCAGATATCGGCAATTGTTTTAAAATATTAGAAGCCATAAAATCTATAAATTTGTCGGTTATTCTTTGCATAATTTGCTCTTTAAATTAGAAATTTATTCCAAATATATCAAAATAAAAAAGATTTCACCAAAATAAAAATATCTTCCTTTTCCAGCTACGTTATAGTTTCAACAAAAATTTTTAAAATATTTGTGAAAAAGGCTAAATAAGATTTAGTTTTATCAATTTCTAAAATATTTTAGCAAAACGATTAGACATTTATCTTCCAATGATGAAAAATAAGTTTTTAAAGCAGGAAATCCTTTTGAAAGTTTTTCAATTGCTAAATATAAAGAAAGCTAACGTGTAGTAGCGTGTCGTAAAGAATATTTTAATGTTGTATTTCAGCTTCTTCAAAAAAAGAGTTCCACTCGCTTTGCATGGTAAGAAAAATAATCATATATTTTTAAAACTAACTTTTCGATGTCAAACTTACATTTGTCTATTGCAAATTTAACAGCATTATGAAGCATGTATACGACACAGCGAGAAGAATAGACATTTGAATTATCTTTCAATATTAATTGATAAACGGAATGATAAATTCCAAAATTTACATTCGTATTATCAGCTGAATAACTAGAAACATTTTCTAAATCTAACCCAAGTTGTTTCAAGCGAATTTTCAAATTTAAATTGCTGTGGCAGTTCTCATCAGAATCTTCATAGAAATCCAAAATACAATGCTATACTCCATGATCTGGCGAGTAATATCTTGCTAAAATCGGATAAATTTTAACACCATCCATGATTTGTTGCATTAGACGATATACTAAAATATACACTACTTTTCAAGCAGCTAATATGCAGTTCTAAAGAATGTGGTTCCAACACATTGTATGCAATAGATGCTGCTTTAGTTTTTCTAATAGTAATCTTCGTAACAAATTATAACTAAATTATAATATTGTAAAACAGATAATAACTTTACATTGCAGTCAAGAGATCTGTATGAAATTGTATGTTTTACAGTGTGATAAATTTGAACAATTTCAGCAGCCATTATCTCTTTTCTTCTTCGCAAGTTAAAATATCTTTGTTTAAAAAAATTGATGTAACATCCGATTTTGTTTCAAGTTCCGCTCATAAGATTGATGATATAATCTGAGACAATGCTTTTTAATATCATTTAATCTGCCGTGAGAGATATCAAATAGTTTTTTACACAATTTGTAATAACTTTTGAATTGAAAAAAATCATATTTTTTTATAAAATTATATTTTTGTTCTCATTTTTTTTTATAAACACATAATTTTTTTTTCTTTTTATCATCTTCGTTATCAGCCATGTTCATGTTTTTTCAACTCGAATAAATAAAATTCTGTAAAATGATATACGATAATAATATAACCTCCAAATGCGTAAGCGTTTTTTTTATCTTACGTTACTTACATATAGTATATATTGTTACTTGTCATGCATATGATTAAATTGATTATTTTTCTTTAAGTTTCTTGCGAACTATATCCAAACAGTGATACTATAATAGATAGATAGCACCACGTTTGCAACATGTAGGAAAGATACATGCGGCTGCGTATCAAAACGTATACCAGTGGAAATCTTTTCTTCTTCTCAAACTATGGCACCCATCAACCAATCGTCGACGATACAAGCGATAAGGTGATTCAGATATGTATGTACCTATCAAGAAAGATCCTACCAAAAAACTTACGACAGCTTTAAGATCTATGCTCACTACATGGAAAATGAAAGATTATATCAAGGACTCTAAGTACAAAACGTTATATTGCAGTGACGGATTATTTTCGGATTATGGATTGCCGAAGATTCACAAACCGAGTTGTCCTCTCAGAATTATTGTTTCATCGATAGGCAGTCCGCTATATGCATTGCTATATTTACACAATATACTATTTAAGATTATTCCTAAGACGGATAGTTGCATTAAAAATAGCTTCTAATTAGTTGATAAATTAAAAAGATTATACATTACAAATGAATATAAATTAATTTCCTTGGACGTTATCTCACTTTTTTCGAATGTTCCAATAGATATAGCGATTAATTGTGTGAATGAGCAATAGAGTTTTATTTTTAAGGAATGCTCTCTGCCTAAGAATGAGTTTCTGGGAGCGATACGGTTTGTTTTAGATTCCACCTTTTTTTCATTTGACAATAGAATTTATAAGCAAAGCTTCGGCACTCCCATGAACTTTCTTTTATCACCTGTAATAGCGGATCTAAGTAATGAGGAGATTAGAAACGGTGTCCCTGATGTCGTTGAATGTAGACATTTTATTTTATCATAGATATGTAGATGACATTTCTACTGCAGTTTCTCCCTCAAAAATTGATATTTTGCTATAACGGTTTAATTCATTTCATCTACGTCTTCAATTTACTATAGAAGTAGGGGGAAAAAAATTAGATTTTTTGGATACTACTATATCTATTACAAACAATCGATTCGTTTTTTATTGGTACCGCAAATCTACCTTCTCAGGCAGATTTTTAAATTTCTACTCAAATCATCCAACTGCACAAAAAAAGATACAATTTTTTCGCTAATTCACAGAACTTTTTTACTTTCTGACTTTAACATATATGTGTCACACAAAAAATTTGACACAAAATATTTATTATTAACGTTTTATTAGATAATATGACTACTCATTACCTTTTATGTTTAACACAGTTAATCAAAGTATAAAAAATTTACAAATAGACACATAGTACGTAAAGATTTGGTTGACAATGTCAACCACTGTGCGAATGAATCTGCATCTTGGCTTACGATACTATTTATTTCTTTTCACACAGAAAAATTTAAACGGTTCAATAAAAACGACATCAGGATATCTTTTCAGAGTCCTAATAAAATGGGTAAATATATTAAAGTACAAAAGGATATTTGTCCCCATACATCTAAGAGCAATATAGTTTATAAGATTTCGTGTAATAATAAGTGTGATGCGTCGTTGGACAGACGGGCAATTGAAAACCAGAATTACAAAACATCGTAACCATATTAGATATAACATTTCTGTCCGTTCTGTCATAACGGAGCACAGGCTGCAGTATGATCATGATTTCCAATGGGACAATGTTAAAATTTTGGATGAAGAGCCTTGTTATAAGAAACGCTTAATTTCTGAGATGCTCAATATTAGAAAGCAGAAAAATAGTTTAAATTTATAAACTGACACTGAAGGTCTTCACAAGGCATATATTCCTATTGTAAATAAAGTTTGACTTTTCGATACTGACAGTCCATCTCTTCTCTCAGTCCATGTTGATCCGTATCAGCGAGCGTACATTATAATCGACACACAATGTCCGTCTTACACATCTACATTCCACTAATTTTATATTCTAATGGGTTTTCATACATTATATGGACACACTTGTTTGTATAATTTACACACGATTTTTGGTGAGTTTTAATTACTTGTTAGTATTTCGGTACGTTAATTTGGTTATGTTTATTTTTTTTGTAAGAAGTCTTTTTATCTTTTTTATCAACTAGAACTTTTTCCAAGAGATATGAAACACATTTGACTGTTCAATCGTATGTGAATAATGTCGAGTTCTATATCAAGACTCACCCGAGTTGTGATTATAGTGAATATGCGAATATTTTCGATAATTAATTTTGTACAGCAATTTTTATGATAAGTTAATGTCTGAAGAGTCAATCTAGTAGCCGAAACATGTAATTTATTTGTATTTAAACTGAGTTTTTCATTTTATTATATTTTTTCAATTTTACTTTTCTTTATTTGTAATACGAGGTCTGTTCAAAAAGTATCGCGAATTTTGTGTTTTTTCAAAAATTATTTATTTATTCATGAATATCTATTTTGTCCTCTTCAAAGTAATCTCCATCAGATATTATACACTTGTGCCAACGTTTTTTCCAATCCTCGAAGCACTTCAAAAAATTATTTTTTGTGATCTTGTTCAGCTCCT